AAAAAGGAGGCTGTTTGAGTAGAAACTTACAAACATTAATTATGTCACTTTTGCAATGACTATAAATTGCTGTTGTTGTCAAATCTGTTACTAACAGGGTCTTAAATGTTAGTGTGAAGCCGCTTCTTTACGAGTTCATGATTCTACATAAATGAGCCCGAAACAACCTACATGTTCAAACCTGATGAATACCTGAAACCAAGCTGGTGGTATACATCTGAAAACCTGATCATCTTCCCAGGTTCAGGGAAAGTCAGCAGGAAGGACTGTAAGAGGAACATTTCCACTTACAGCAGCGCTTGTATAGAAGACATCCAACGTGAATGGTCAAAAATGCTGAACAATTCAATTTCTATGAGCTGTCCAGAATAAGCAGACCTACAGATAGAAATAGTGGTTGCCAAGGGCTGCGGTGTCTGAGGGAAATGGAAGGTGATGGATGAAGAACACAGTTTCTTTTGGAGTGATGAAAATGTTCTAAAACTGATTTTGTAGCAGTTACACAACTCTGTGACTACACTAAAAACTACTGAATTGCACATTTTACATGGGCAAATTGCCTGGCATGTGAACTATGTTTTTATGAAGCTGTTACAAAAGAAAACCTCTAAAAGAGTGAATGGAAAAGGGATGAAAGGTTCTATCAGAAAAATAAGCTACAGATTAAATGTGCAGGACAAGGCTAGAGTGAATTCTGTGCTGTTGGATTAAAGCTGAAGATAGTAAGAATTCATGTTTATTTTAATATAGAAAGGTAGATGTTTACAGAAATAGGTATGTGTACATGGTCAGTAAATACACAACTGTTTCCTACCTCTGTCCCTCAGGGGTCCAGAAGTATAGCTAGTGTCTACACCTTAGATTCTAAATACCATTCTTTAATAAAAGAAGCCAGGGAAGGCTCGTTCCAGGGCTAGGACAGGGAAAACGCAAGATGAACTTGGAACATCTTGTAGTATAGAAATTAAGGGTTGTTCTCAACTGCAAAAGCTGGAAAATTTTGAGGAACAAAATATTAAATTATAATCTAATGAATAAAATAAGTAGCCATGAATACATAGTGATACAAATAAATGACTAAATGTGAAAATAACAGGAGAGGCCTGGGTGTGGTGGCTCATGCCTGCAATCCCAGCACTTTGGGAGGCCGAGGTGGGCAGATTATGAGGTCAAGAGATCAAGACCATCCTGGCCAACATGGTGAAACCCTGTCTCTACAATAAACGCAAAAATTTGCTGGGCGTGGCGGTGTGTGCCTGTAATCTCAGCTACTCAGGAGGCTAAGGCAGGAGAATCACTTGAACGCGGGAGGCGGAGGCTTCAGTGAGCCGAGATGGCACCACTGCATTCCAGCTTGGACAACAAGAGGGAAACTCCATCTGAAAAAAAGAAAGAAAGAAAGAGAGAAAGAGAGAGAGAGAGAGAGAAAGAAAGAAAAAAAGAAAGAAGAAAGAAAGAAAGAAAGAAAGAAAGAAAGAAAGAAAGAAAGAAAGAAAGAAAGAAAGAAAGAAGAAAGAAAGAAAGAAAGAAGAAAGAAAGAAAGAAAGAAAAAGAAAGGAAGAAAGAAAGAAGGGAAGAAAGAGGAGAGAATGGACATATCTTCATTACAGAACAATTCCAAATAAATGGAGAAAATTTAAATAAAACTCAACTTTAGAACACCATCATAATTAAGTTGCTGGAGGCAAGATCCATCAATGAATGCTAAAATTAAAGGACAAAACATGAAGAAGAGGTATTTAGTGGGGTGCTGTGGCTCACACCTGTGACCTAATACTTTGGGAGGCTGAGGTGAGAGGATCACTTGAGGCCTGGAGTTTAAGATCAACCTGGGCAACACAGGGAGACCCCCTCTCTACAAAAAAAAATTAGCCAGGTGTGGCAGTGGTGCACGTCTGTAGTCCTAACTACCTGGGAGGCTGAGGTGGGAAGATTGCTTGAGCTGGGAAGGTAGAGGCTGCAGTGAGCCATGATTGGGCCCCTACACTCGAGCCTTGGTAAGAAAGCAAGACCCTACACTGTCTCAAAAAAAGAAAAAAAGGAGATTATTTACATATCTTAAAATTGTCTTCCTAAAATATCTGTTATTTCTTTCTTTCTTTTTTGAAACAGAGACTTTCTCTGTCACTCAGGCTGTAGTGCAGTGGCGCGATCTCTGCTCACTGCAACTTCTGCTCCTGGGTTCAAGCAATTCTCCTGTCTCAGCCTCCCAAGAAGTTGGACTACAGGAGTGTGCCACCACGTCCGGCTAACTTTTGTATTTTTAGTAGAGACAAGGTTTACCATGTTGGCCAGGCTGGTCTCGAACTCCTGACCTCACGTGATCCACCTGCCTCAGCCTCCCAAAGTGCTGGGATTACAGGCATGAGCCACCACGTACAGCCAAATATTTGTTAATTGCTAAGGTGGCTTTAATATTGTGTTCACAAATTCTTTGATAATCCTTTCTCCAGGAGATACGGCTTAATTTCCCTCCCTTGGCATATGGGCTAGGTGTGGCGACTACTTCTAAAAATAAGAGTATGGAAAGAGAAAAATGATAACTTTATGTTGGCAAAACCTGTCAGACTTCACCTGCACCGAGTAATCAAGGTCAGCATCACCAGAAAAGTCACATTGGTATCATGTACTCCTTGATAAGATACAGTGAAGACACTCACCTCTGTGATATTCTTACAAATAGTTGGCAGTGCCAGTCTAATAAGAAAACATCAGGCAAGTCCAAATCAAGACACTATGTAAAGGCCCCGGCCAGTTCCCTTCAAGTGTCAAGGTCATGAAAGACACAGACTGACAGACTTACAGATTGGAGGAGACTAAAGAGATGTGACCACTAAATGCCACATGGGATCCTTGACTGAATCTAGATCAGAAGAAGGGGAAGAGTGAAAACCTAGCGGAAAACGCAAATCAAGTCTGCAGTTCAGTTGATAGTATTGTCCCAATGTTAGTTTATTAGCTCTGGCAAATGTACCACGGTTGTGTAAGATGTTAACATTAGGAGGGAAACGTGAACTGACCCACTGGCCCATGGCATCCTACTGTAAGAATAGACTTCACTTATTTATGTATTTACTGTTGGTTTAGACTCATAAGATTTTTTTTCCCCCATGCGTTGTACGTCATTAGTGTACTCGATTAGATTGATACTCCAATTGTCCCAGATTTGGCCAATGGGTGGGAGTTCCTTCAGACTGACTCTTCTGTCCTAGCGGGATATTCCATCTTTCTTTTTTTGTTTTTTTGGTTTTTTTTTTTTTAGCATTTGCCTTTTGGCCTGACAAGGTATTCTGGGATCATCGAATCCTAGTCCTGGAAGCAGCCCCTTCTTCAGGTCATCCTGACTTTCATTACTGGGAAGTGGTGGTATAAGATCTGGATACTGCCTGTGCTCACTGCTACTGCTGTGTCCGTGCTTCTCAGTGTTTTCAGTGGACAGACCTAGAAAATACATATGTGTGTATACACACACATATACATGCACACAAAGATGCATGTGCACATAAACATGCATGGACACACATACGCATCTTAGGAATCAAAAGTTCACACCAATACTTCCAATTCTAGTCCATCCTCACAGGATTCTTTTTCTCTGCCCCATTCCTCATTTGTAGGACTTTTCTTCCACAGTGAGAACCCTGGCTCCCGACAACACAGACACATGTACTCATTTGCTCAATCCCATAATGTATATAAAATAGTTTCAGGATGACTCTGCCCATACCACTACAATATACAAGCCTACTAGAGTTTGGATTTGTTTGTAATTCTAATTCACATACAACAAACCCTACCCAACCAAGACTGAGGGGGTATAGTCAAACACTATCTGCGTTATTTTTCTTTCTTTCTTATACGAGAGGTACCACACTGTATAGACTTTTTCCACATTGCTCTTTCATTTAACATTTCCTTTAAAACTCACTCCATAACAGTTTGCTGATATCTTCATTCTCTTCACAGTTACATCTGACTCCATCATGTTATTCAATCCATTTCCTATGCCTGCATGTCCAAGCAACTTCCAATATTTTGCAACTATAAATAATGCTGATAAGTAATCATGTGCACATGTACATTCATATCACTGGAGGTGACTTTTTTTTTCTTGATATGGAGTTTTTCTCTCTCGTTGCCCAAGCTGAAGTGCAATGGCGCAATCTCAGCTCACCTCAACCTCTGCCTCCTGGGTTCAAGTGATTCTTCTGCCTCAGCCTCCCAAGGAAGTGGGATTACAGGCATGTGCCACCACCCCTGGCAATTTTTTGTGTGTGTATTTTTATTAGAGACGGGGTTTTTCTATGTTGGGCAGCCTAGTCTCAAACTCCCGACCTCAAATGATCCACCCGCCTCGGCCTCCCAAAGTGCTGGGATTACAGGCATGGGCCACCACGCCTGGCCTGACTCTCCTTTTTTTCTTTTGAGACAGAGTTTTGCTTCGTTGTCGAGGCTGGAGTGCAGTGGCATGATCTCGACTCACGGCAACCTCTGCCTCCCAGGTTCCAGCAATTCTTGTGCCTCAGCCTCCTGAGTAGCTCGGATTACAGGCGGCCGCCACCGCATCTGGCTGATTTTTTTGTATTGCAGTAGAGATGGAGTTTTACCATGTTGCCCAGTTGATCTCGAACTCCTGAGCTCAGGCAATCCGTCCATCTTGGCCTCCAAAAGTGCTAGGATTACAGGAATGAGGTATTGCATGAGGCCTGGAGGTGACTCTTAAGGGATACATTCTTAGAAGTGCGCTTGCTTGCTGTGTCAATAGGTATGTGCACATACAATTTAATTAAATACTGCCAACTTCCCTCTATAGGACTTAATACATTTTGCATTCTCACCAACAATATATGAAAATGTCTGTTTCTCTACAGTCTCACCAATAGAGAGTACTGTTAAGCTTTTATATTTTTGACAATCGGATGGGTGAGAAATGGTATCTTGGTGTGGTTGTAATTTACGTTTCTCTTACCATGAGTGAATTTAACATCTTTTCATATATTTAAACATCTTTTGACAAAGAATCTGTGGATGATGTCTTTTGCCCACGTTTCTATAGGATTTCTAATCTTTTCCCCTCAATTTTTAAAGCATCTACAAAGTAAAGTTTAACCCTTTATTTTTATTTGTTTATTTATTTATTTAGAGATGGAATTTTGCTCTTGTTGCCCAGGCTGGAGCACAATGGGACGATCTCAGCTCACTGCAACCTCCGCCTCCCGGGTTTGAGCAATTCCCCTGCCTCAGACTGCCAAGTAGCTGGGATTACTGGCATGCACCAGCGCTCCCAGCTAATTTTGTATTTTTAGTAGAGATGAGGTTTCAGCATGTTGGTCAGGCAAGTCTCAAACTCCTGACCTCAGGTGATCTGCCCTCCTCAGCCTCCCAAAATGCTGGGATTACAGGTGTGAGCTACCATGCCTGGCCTCAGGATTAACCCTTCATCAGAGAAATATGGTGATTTGGAATATGTTGATAAGGATTTTTTGCAGTCATTTGTCTTTGATGTTATGGTACACTTTGTCCATGCAAACAATTTTTGGTATCGGTAGTTTTTATTTATTAATCCTGTATTGGCTCTGGATTTAGAAGTAGAAAGCCTCTCCGTATATTAGGTTAAAGATTATTTCATCCATATTTTCTTCTAACATTTAAATTTTTTTTTGCATTGAAATCTCTCACCCATTAGAAATTCTCATGTATGATGAGAGGAATGGAATTTTATTATTTTCCAAATGGCTAGTCAATGTCCCATTTATTAAAAGAGTATTTGTCACAGTCATTTGATATTCCACCTTTCTGATCAGCATTTTTAAATGCATTCTGCTCTTTTATTTGTGTTACTTTGACTTATTCATGTGCCAGTACCATGCTGTTTAAATTATAGAGGCTTTGTCAAGTTTTCAAATCTGGAAGGGCTAGTCCCTCTAAAGCACTTCCTGTGCAGCATTTTTGTAGCAATTCTTATGTTAAATTTTCCACATGGATCTTAGGATTAATTTATAGTCCATGTCAATGTAAAAACTCATTAGAATTTTTAATGAGATTGCATAATTTTGTAAATTATAAAGTTAGTGAGAGAGACTCATATCATCATTATATTGAGATGTTTTCTAAGAAGAGAGGATGTCTTTCTACTTATTGAAGTCTATTTTTGGTTTCAGTGGTGCTTTATAGTTTTCTACTTATTGGTTTGGAATATTCTTTATTAAACTTATTCTTATTTTATGTTTATCCAATGTTACCAAAATTGGAGTCACTAATTTATTTATTTATTTTTTGTTGAGACGGAATTTTGCTGTTGCCCAGGCTGGAGTGAAATGGTGCAATCTCGGCTCACTGCAACCTCTGCCTCCCTGGTTCAAGCGATTCTCCTGCCTCAGCTTCCTGAGTAGCTGGGATTAGAGGCATGTGCCACCACGCCCAGCTAATTTTGTATTTTTAGTAGAGACAGGGTTTCTCCATGTTGGTCAGGCTGGTCTTGAACTCCCAACCTCAGGTGATCTGCCCGCCTTGGCCTCACAAAGTGCTGGGATTACAGGCGTCAGCCACCACTCCCAGCCTGGAGTCACTAATTTTATATTTCATTTTGTGCTGTTTTTAGGTATTAACAGCCAGGTCTATTATATTCCAGAGTTCAGACAGAGTAACCCTAAAGAAGATGTTTTGGTAGTACATTTTTTCTTTTCAAAAAACCTAAACTGAATGTTGCGTGGTAGTGTTAGGCATAGATTTCTTTTTTTTTTTCTTTTTTTTGAGACAGAGTCTCTCTCTGTCACCCAGGCTGGAGTGCAGTGGCATGATCTTGGCTCACTACAACCGCCACCTCCTGGGTTCAAAGTATTCTCCTGCCTCAGCTTCCCGAGTAGCTGGGACTACAGGCACATGCCAACATGCCTGGATAATTTTTTGTATTTTTAGTAGAGACGGGTGTCACCATGTTAGCCAGGATAGTCTCCAACTCCTGACCTCATGATCCACCCAACTCTGCCTCCCAAAGTGCTGGGATTACTGGTGGGAGCCACTGTGCCCGGCCCGCATAGATAATATTTCCATAAAACACTAATATTCATTTCTGGTGTGGTTTTCTATTAACACAATCAAAAGCATTCTTTTCCCCTTTTCTCATCATCATTTTTATCTAAAAGAGAGGTTTCAGGTGTATCTAGCAGAGACATTTTTTTTTTTTTAAAGTTCAGATTGATTGATTGAGACGGAGTTTTGCTCTTGTCGCCCAGGCTGGAGTGCAATGGCATGATCTCAGCTCGCTGCAACCTCCACCTCCCAGGTTCAAGTGATTCTCCTCCCTCAGCTTCCTGAGTAGCTGGGGTTACAGTTGCCCACCACCACACCTGGCTAATTTTTGTATTTTTAGTAGAGACGGGGTTTCACCATCTTGGCCAGGATGGTCTTGAACTCCTGAGCTCGTGATCCACCTGCCTCGGCCTCCCAAAGTGCTGGGATTACAGGCGTGAGCCACTGTGCCCAGCTTCTTCTAACATTTTCTTCATCATTCTTCCTGCAGTCACCACCACAGCTCTCAGTATATGCTCACCTCGCCATTCTTTGCACACTGGTGTTGGACGCTACTGGTATTTGCTGTCTCTCCAACAGCCGAGCTTCTTGTGAACAGCTCCTTCCTTATCTTCTCTCCCTGAGCAGGTCCTTGGCAACCTTAATTTCTCCATTGTGATTTTAAGTTATGCACCAAGCCACTAGACATAACGGCACCCTCTGAAGCTATACTATGTAAGGGAGGCGCCTGCCCTCCTCTCTGGGTTTCCTCCTCTCAGGTGACAGACGCAGAGGCTCCTCAGACTCCAGGAGACCGTAAGGAAGCTGCAAAGGGCACAAGAAGTACACTGGAGGTCTCCAAAGAAGTTTTGTTGAGCCTCGATCTGTAGGGGGAGGAGGGTGTGTGGTGCAGGTCATGCAGGTGAAGTCCGAAGAGGGTTGGGCAGGTGTAGCCGTGTATTCTCACCCTGACAGGACACAGAGCATTGAATGAAGGGACCGTGCTGGCTGCGATGCCAGCTGCAGCCTAGGGAAGTGGGAAGGAGCTTTGGATTGATTGAGTAGAGGCAGAGATTTAAGACAGGAGGGCGGGAGAGGACTGGCGTGCCCAGCTCTGGAGGCAGGCCCTCTGGGACATTTTCAATGCTCTTCAGTTTTCTTTGAAAAGAAAAAAGGCCCAGATCCCAGGCGCTGGCCCATTCATCTTCCATGGAGTATTCATTAGGCTGAATTCTGGAGGAGAGATTTCTACACCAGTGACATTCTGTAGTGAGTGCTAGGCTGGAATTCAAACCCAGGTCTACCTTTTCCCAAAACAAGTTCTTTTCTCATTTCCAAGGGACCAGGCAAATTCTGAATGCAGTAGAAAAGAAATCACTTCCCAGGGCCAGGCGTGGTGGCTCACGCCTGTAATCCCAGCACTTTGGGAGGCTGAGGCAGGCGGATCACCTGAGGTCAGGAGTTCAAGACCAGCCTGACCAACATGGAGAAACCCTGTCTCTAATAAAAAAAATACAAAATTAGCCAGGCATGGTGGCACATGCTTGTAATCCCAGCTAGTTGGGAGGCTGAGGGAGGAGAATCACTTGAACCTAGGAGACAGAGGTTGTGGTGAGCCAAGATCGCACCATTGCACTCCAGCCTGGGCAACAAAAGTGAAACTCCATCTCAAAACGAAAAAAGACACAGTGAGACCTGGTCCTTCATTCTCTGCACCCCGCTGGCTTATCCAACTGCACAGTCATCAACTGTGAGCATTTGTCTTCCCTCTGGACCGAGTTACTGTGGAAGACAGAGTAGGTCCTAAAGAACGCAGTTTCCGGTTTCACCTGGCAGAGGGTGTAATGACTTTCACGACAGATGTTGGTAACAGGCCGCAGCAGTGCCAGCCTAGAAGTGTCATCTTGCAGGGTTTTCACAGTCACTTCCTTCTCCGGGTCTTGTCAGCCCTCCCCAGGGTGGAATGTGAGTCCTTTCCTCCTCCTGGATGCTGTTTCGGTGACCAGGAAGGGACATATTTCAACCCTCCCCAAAGATGAGGTGGCATTTGGTCTCAGGAATTTGCCACAAACTCATGTCATCTCTGTGTTTCAGGACATTTATTTGAAGGGCAGGGGAACAAATGGATTGCAGAGAAACATCCTGGCTGAAAATATCCTGGAAAAGTTTAAGGAGGTACTTGAGACGCTTCACACTGAGGAGCAAAACCAGCTCAAATGTGTGAAAAGCATGGAGAAATCATGAATCTGGTATTAAATTATACTTTTTAAAGTTTTATTTTTGCCTAGCTGCCCAATCTGTCAAATGACTCAGCAACCCTACATAGTTGAAACCAGATGTTTACTCAAGAGTACGGTAGAGGATTACTTTCCAAATCCACAACCCAATGCTGACTTTATTTTTGATTCCTAACGTAGAGCCCAGGGACAAATATGTGTGCATGTGTGTGTGCGTGTGCACACATGCAGTATTCAGCCCCGCAGCCCACAGCGGGGTTGAAGGGGTCAAAAGTAGTCAGGGCTCAAACGGCAACAATGATTTATGAGACTTATGAGGCTCCAGCCACCCTCAGTCATCTTGGAGAGAGGGTGGGGCAGGATGAGACGGGTGAACTGACTATTCCTTCTGTTGCTCTCTGAATGGCTGCTGAGGAGTGACTCCTTTGGAGAGTTGAGTGTAATTCTGGTGTTTGGATGCTCAGCACACATTTTCCACACAGTGTGCCATATGAACCCTTAGTTGTTTCTGTGCAATGCTCTGTACATTGTATGTTTCTACACACATGTCTACAGTGTGCCTTGTACAAACCTGAATGTGTTCTATAAGACACTCTACATTCTCTTGCTAAGGGATCTTCAAAGGGAATTTTGAGGTAAGTTTCCCTTTTGGCACTGGCTTTAGGATGGATCCTTCTGTCAGATGGGACACCCCGTAAAAAGGCTTTAATTCTTTGCTACTGACAAAACAGACTTACAACCTTTAGCCTGCTTAACTCCCTGAGCAACCCCAGAAGGGCAGGAGAAGGCACAGTTTCCATGTTTTTTTGTTTTTGTTTTGTTGAGATGGAGTCTTGCCCTGTTGCCCAGGCTGGAGTTCAGTGGCCTGATCTCGGCTCACTGCAACATCTGCCTCCTGGGTTCAAATGATTCTCCTGCTTCAGCCCCCCAAGTAGCTGGGATTATAGGCGCCCACCATCACGCCCAGCTAATTTTTGTATTTTTAGTAGAAACGGGGTTTCGCCATGTTGGCCAGGCTGGTCTACGAACTCTTGACCTCGTGATCCACCCACCTCAGCCTCCCAAAGTGCTGGGATTACAGGCGTAAGCCACAGCGCCAGTAGCATCAGCCACCAGGCTTAGGGGCCTCATCTAGGTTGCTTTGTCTTTGCTAATTATCAGGTGTAAACTAAATTGACAACTTACTAGGAAGAAGTCAAAAGTATTCATGAGTCATCATAATTTTGCTGCAACGTGAAACTCTGAAGCTAACTCCCAAAGCGGAGATGTGGCTCTGAATGAGGCTTTGGAAGAGGGTCTTTTAGCTCTGAATCAGGTCCATCCTGGTGGGGCAGGGTCTCTGAGATCCTCTACCTTCAGCCCGCCCCCTGGGCCACTCCTCTCTTCCTTGCAGCTCACACTTCTGCCAAGATCAATAACATTGCTTGGGACAGGCTAGGTCAAGTCCCTGAGGTGCAATTATGTATTTCTCTTTAGTCTATGCCTTTAAGAATTGGTTTAGTTTTTCACAAACTCACTATGTTTCTGCCTGGTCTTCAGCAGTCACTGCCATAGTGTTCATTCAGAACCTGCCCCTGAGCTGAGTGAGGAAGGGAAGGAAGCAGAGGAAGCAGGTGGGGGAACGCCTCCTCTTTGATCCCTTCCATCTAGAAATGTGCTCAGCTTTATTTTGAGTAAAAGGGATCCACTTTGTTTGTGGAGGTCCTTGTAATATTATCAATAGCTACCACATGTTTAATGTCATCCAGGTGTCAGGCACTACTCCAGGCATCTTGAGTACTTAATTCTCATGGCAATCCTAAGATGCAGGTAGTATGCCAACATGGGAAAAGCTCTGGCCTTAGACTCAGAAGGACCTTGTCTTCTAATCTCAGTGCTGTCTCTTCCTGGCAAGTTACTTAGAGCCTTCTGAGCTTCCTCTCCCACAAAACCGTACTATCTAGGCTGGGTATAGTAGCTCACACCTATAATCCCAGAACCTTGGGAGGCTGAGGTGGGCAAATCACTTCAGGCCAGGAGTTGGAGACCACCCTGGCCAACATGGCAAAACCCTGTCTCTACTAAAAATACAAAAAATGAGTCCCAGCTGCTTGGGAGGCTGAGGCAGGAGAATTGCTTGAACCCAGGACGTGCAGGTTGCAGTGAGCTGAGATTGCACTCCTGCACTCCAACCTGGTGACAAAGGAAAACCCTGTCTCAAAACAAACAGCAAAACAAAACAAAACCATACTATCTAAAGCAAGGATGGTTGTGTGAGGATTCTGTGAAATAACAACATGCACCTACTAAATCACCACGAGGCCATCCTAGTACTATCATCACCTCTGTCCTACACATACCAGGGTGTCCTGTGCAACTGACTTTTATTTTTGTTTATTTTATTTTATTTTATTTTTTTGAGATGGAGTCTCACTCTGTCGCCCAGGCTGGAGTACAATGGTGTGATCTTGGCTCACTGCAACCTCCACCTCCTGGGTTCAAGTGATCCTCCTGCCTCAGCCTCCCGAGTAGCTGGGACTACAGTCATATGCCACCACACCCAGCTAATTTTTGTATTTTCAGTAGAGGCAGGGTTTCACCATATTGGCCGGGCTGGTCTCAAACTCCTGACCTTGTGAGCTGCCCACCTCTGCCTCCCAAAGTGCTGGGATTACAGGCGTGAGCCACCAGCCCGGCCTTTGCAACTGACTTTTAATACCTGCTTCACACATTCACAATATCATTAGCCTGGAAAGGGCAGGTCTCTAGCACATAGGGTTGGAAAACGAAGGAAAGAAAGTTTCACTGGCTTTTCTCAACCAGATGTGCCTAAGTGATGAAGAGCCAATATACAGGATATTCAAGCTCTTTGGAGACCACAGTTCTCACCAGATGGCCAAGACTGCTGATGCGTTCACAGAGAGGAAAACTAGCCTTGCTGAGGACATTCAGCAGGTGCTTCAGAGATCTGAGAGCACAGCCCAGGAAATGGAGGTACAGCTTGAATGGTTCCTCTCCTGTCCCCACATTAACAGGAAGACAATGTTTGGTTCTGGTTTCAACAGTTTTCTCTTCAGAGTACTAGGCCAACAAAGGTAGTGTTTAAATGCAACGGAGAAATCATACATTGCATTCTCTAGAGACAGGTGCCCCTTGAGTCTGTCCTGAAGCATGTCAAGTTTTGAAATGCACATCTTAAGAACTGGGTCAATCCTGATTGCTTTCAAGACTTCAAAAAATAAAAAGTTAATAGCCAATTAATTTACCTTCCCTGACTTCAGGAGATGGAGCTAAGAGTCCAGGGAGACCAAAGCAGTTAGAGTACATAGGACGGAGTTCAGAGAGGAGATGGTTATATAAAGAGAAAGCCTAAAGACCTGTCCAGGGTCTTCCTTGAGTATTCAGCAGTGAACTGATCAGCACATATCTCTGAAGACACTACCAAAGGTCTGAAAGGAAACATAAAAATATTGACGGAAGAGCACCTGTTGCTTGCACAGGACAGGGAAAAATGCCTGTTCCCACTGACGAGACTGGAAAAACTCATACATCATGGAACATTGTGAAGAGTACTCGGAAGGTCTTGCCTATGAGTAGTGGGGAATAATTAGCCCTAGATTGACCACTGCCTTGGACTCACCTAAAAAATAATAAATGCAAGACCTGAAAAGATCAAAGTCTTTCCAAGTACCTCAACTGCATCCCATAACAAAATTGAAGATTTATAGGAATACAAAAATACCCAGCACCCAAAAAAGTAAAATTTGCAATGTCTGGCATCCAATCAAAGATTATCAGGCAAGGCAAAGAAGCAGGAAAACATGGTCTATGATGAAGACAATAGTCGCACAATCAAAATCAAATCAGAACTGAGACAGATGTTAGAATTACTAGACAAAGACACTAAAAGTTATTATCATTGTATTCCATATTTCAGAAAGAAAGTATAAAAATATTCAAACTAGAGCTACATCTACTATGTACTCAAACAAAAATTAAAAATTTTTTAAATTTAAAAAGAATTTCCTTGTGGGCAAATTGTGAGGGAGGTCTGTAACTGTATTATCTTTGTACTTATATAGGAATAAAATGGGAGGCAGGTTGCCTGACACAGTTCCCAGCTTGACTTTTTCCTTTGACTTAGTAATCTTGCACCTCAAGATTTATCTTCCTTTCACAAGAGGTATACATTGTTCATGTGTAGGAAGACTCAACATTGTTGAGCTGTCAATGCTCTCCAAATTGTTCTATAGATTTAATCCAATTATTAATCCAATTGTTATTAATCTCAGCAAACTTTTTTTTTAATTAACAAGGTGATTCCAAAGCTTAGATAAAAAGGCAAGGATTCTAGAGTAGCAAAAACAATTTTGAAAAAGAACAAAGTTGAAGGGCTGACACCACCTGATTTGAAGAATCATGATAGCTGGGCATGGTGCCTCTCACCTGTAATCCCAGCACTTTGGGAGACTGAGACTAGAGGATTGCTTAAAGCCAGAATTTCAAGACCAGCATGGGTAACAAAGCAAGACCCTGTCTCTACAAAAAATTAAAATAAATTTAGCCAGGTGAGGTCGCGTATACCTGTAGACCCAGCCACCCACTTGGGAGGCTAAGGCAGAAGGATTGCCTGAGCCTAGGAGTTTGAGGCTGCAGCAAGCTATGAC